CTTGAGGGCTTTTAGGGGGAAGGCGGTTTAGCGTTTAGGGTTTCGGGGGGGGGGGGGGGGGGGGGCGGAATTCTTGAGCAACAAAGAAATGCCGCGGGATGAGTTGAGGTCGCCGCAGGCAGGCATTCTCTGGCGCATAGCGGCATAGCGACAAGAGCATGCGGTAAAGCAATAATGATGACCGAGGCAGCCCTTGTCCTGGTATAGATGTTGTTGTTGTCGTTGCCGTTGCTTGTTGTTGGTGCTGGTGGTGATGGTGGTGATGGTGGTGGTGGTGGTGGTGGTGGGGGTGATGGGGGTGGTGGGGGTGGTGGGGGTGGTACGGGTGGTGGGGATGGCGGTGGCGGTGGTGGGAGTAGGAGTAAGAGTAGCAGTACTGTAGTCGTTTCTTGTCCTCGACACCCTCCACCTAAACGCCATGACGACATGTTTCAGCGACACGAAAATCAGCATCTAGTGAATCTAGTAACATATCAAAGTTTTATGAAAGGTGTACTGAATTCGTGGTCGCCGCACTCTGCTCAAAGTTACATCATGAGCCTCATTCCCGCATGCGTCGAAGTTTTGGGCCAAGTGTAGGGCTTTGGGGATTGGGATATTCTTCCACTGTTTGCTGCGGAGGCCTGCGGCTCTGCGGCAGCGTTGGCATCTTTCACCTATGTAGGAGTCAACAGCTTCAGGACGTGTATTCGTAAGGTTTTGGGATAGAGAGATCCGGATTGAAGGCGCCGGCAAGCAAGGGAAACAGGTTTTATGGTCATATTTACAGTTCCTTCCGGGGCCTCGATGATGATGGTGCCGGAACTTTGGGCTTTTGCTCTAGGTCAGCTGGTTGCTTACACTGATAGATCGTGTTGAGGCCTGGGGCATCTGGTTTTGGGGGTCCTGCAGCCAGTGCAGCACGCAGGTAGCTCTAGGTGGTTCGGAAGTTGAAGGCTGGCCTGAGAATGCAACTTCTTCTACACCGAGAAACATCACACACAGAACCATGAAGCTGCGCAGCTTCCAAGCCTCCCTCATCTTGTATCTAGCCTCTGCTCCGTCTCAGAGTTAACAAGATGTAAGCACCAAGCCAACCAACCAGCGCAAGCCTCGCAAATCGTAATTGCTGTAGCCTGAAGCATATAAAGCCTTCTAAACTGAGCTTCTTCAGGCCGGCTCCAATGGCTTTTTGGGCCCAAGATATATGCGCCACCACCTCGTGAACCACATGACCGCAAACCATCCAAAAAATACTAAGACCTTGAGAAGCCCCCGCTACAACCCATGAATGGGGCCCTCACAGTTGCAACCCTGAAGTCTGAAGCCCCACCCAAAATGCGGACTTTTAGAGGCCTTAAGAACTGTACATGTATAAGGACATAATATACTATAAGACTATGGGGACTATAGGGGGCACGCTTTCTAGTTGTTTCGACCCCTACATGTTAACGGAATCAAAACCTCAAACCCTTTAAGGTGCCAAGGTGCCAGAAGAGGGGGCTGCCCTAAACCCTAAACCCTAAACCTCTAAACCGTTTAAGGTGCCAAGGTGCCAGAAGAGGGGGCTGCACTCCGAGGGCAGCGAGAAGGGCTTCCAAGCGCCGACGCGAAGGGCCTGAGAGAGCTTTGGGGCTATCATGCACTTGGAGGTTCATGGGTAGTTATAGGTGATATAAGTGGGGTTATAAGGTTCCTTTAAGGGTTCCTTTAAAGGCTTCTCTCCCACAATAACCCTCCAGGTACCTACTATATGGTACCATATATAGGGTTTAGGGGTTTAGGGTTTAGGGTTCCGGTAGTTTCCCCTAACCCCCCAGGTACCTACTATATAGGGTACTAGAGCCCCTAGGGCCATATATAGTAGGTACCTGGGGGGTTAGGCTATCATGCACTTGGAGGTTCATGGGTAGTTATAAGTGGGGTTATAAGGTTCCTCTATAGGGCTCTATAGGGTTAAGGGTTTAGGGTTTAGGGGTAGTTATAAGTGGGGTTATGAATATGGGTTATAAGTACCTAAACCCTAAACCCTAAACCCTAAACCCTATACCCATGAACCTCCAAGTAGGGCTTTAAGGTTTAGGGGCTCGGGTATGTTTTAGAAGACCAAGGGGCCTCCCGGAATGCCACTGTGGGACATGCACCTCCCTTTTTAGGGTTTAGGGTTTAGGGGTTTAGGGGTTTAGGGGTTTAGGGTTTAGGGTTTAGGGTCTAGTAGAAAATGAAGGACAGCTCCAGCTTCTTTACAGCCCTACTTGGAGGATCATGGGACTTAGTAAATAAGGGTATAAGTCCCTTAATAGGGGGTTACAAGTATATAGTTACCCTAATTATAACCCTACTTACTAAGTCCCATGATCCTTTAAGTATGGCAATTAGCAAAACTCGCAGCCTCCCTATCTCCGCAAAGGTTCTGTGACGCTCTTACAGGTATAGGGCTTAATCGAAAACCAAAAAGCAGCACACCGAATATTTTTTTGCAACAACATGACGCTGATGGACAGAACCCTGCATCAGCCTCAGCATTTAAACTACCGGAATAATGAGACGCCCTCCACCATGCATGATGTAGGATGTTGGCCATAGCACGACGGCGGGCTCTGTAGGCGAAGCATCCGTTTGCGAGCGATGCAGCGTCTTGAGGCTGGAGCTTGGCAGATGCCCGTCCGTTGGCTCCGGTGTGTTCCTTGGCGAACGTAGGAGAGAGTTTCAGTCATTTCTTGACGGTCATCCATGCTTTAAGATATTGGTTATCTTTCCTAATCTGCAAGTACGCCCTGGACATGCCTAACCACACACACCACACGATTGTCCCTGCTTGGGCTCCGGCGGGGCGAGAAACTCCAGCGTCCTGGCATACATAGTTTCGCATAGCATATCGTGGATTGTAATCAATCACAGTATGTTATACCCCGGTATACTCTATTGTAATTTAATATATATATATATATATATATATACTATATATATATATATACATGTATATATGTGTGTATATGTATGTATATATATATATATTTATCATCGTTTTATAGGCGACTATCTCTTTTGTATATGTCTATGTCATTATTGGAGTTCGCGGGTCTCGGCCTCAGAGTGTACCCAAAACCCCAAAAGCTCGTCGTTCAGCGGTAGGAGCGGCCTCTGAGCTATCTCGACCACGGTGAGCGCCAGATGAGTTAGCCTCCGGAGCAAAGGAGTTCCACAAGCCTGGGACCTTGATACTTGTTGAAGGCGAACGGCTTGTAGGGTTTATTTTAGACCACTAGTATGTTTAGGATTAAAGCCTTGTTTCAGAAAAGGGTCTATTGTTTAGGGTGAAACCTTGAACGTAGCCAGACACAGCGTCCTGTATCGACTAGGGTACGGAAGAAATCGACATGAAGTCCCTGACAGGCCAACCTGCATGACTCCAAATGTTCTAACCTGAACCAGAAAATCAGCAGCCTTTTCGGCATGACGGCGTGGTCCTTGGCAAACTCTTGCGAGTGCCTCGGACCAACGCAAGCAGTTCATCCTCGCGAGAAACAAGAGCTAGAAATTCGTCTACGGCACCCAGGGACAAAGGTTGTCAGGCCTCATGTCATACATGTTTATGCCCAAGCCCTGAATCCTAAGCTCCTGCCATGTGAAGGTAGCCTCGCTGTTAGCGTCCTCTAAAGTACCATCCTTGCATCCGAGCAGCTTCAGGAGCATGCTGCGCTGACTGGCACCTCGCGACAGCAAAGTTTAGTAATGTAGGGGTTTTAAAAATTCGACTAGGGTTTGGGGGGTTCCTTACTATTATTATTATTATAGTATGATATACCCCCAAACCCTATTCTAATTATTAAGGCCCCTATAGTGTGCCGGATGCTGGTGGCAAGGAAGTAACTTTGCTGCGGCCGTAAAGTCAAGGATGCCTGGCTTAATAGATGGCCACTTTGGCATCTCTTGACAGTGCCTGCTACATCTAAGACCAGAATTCTACCTTGCAAAATCCGAATGGCTGCCGGAGACCGCGACGAGCTTGCCAAGTCACACCTTACCGATCCCGGGAGCAGTTTAGGCTCCAAATGGATCCTCGCAAGATGATGCTGACCCCAGAAAAAAGCCATGTTGGACGGAGTCATGGGCCTTGGAGACATTGTGCACGGCGTTGTTTTTACTGGCTTGAACGAGCCATAAGTCACCGTCGAACGTCACTTGATGGCAGCAAAAAAAAGTAGAGCGCTGAGTCACCGCAATGCCTTGGGGAATGCCAAATGTGATGGGCCCCCCCCACCCTCAAGAACTACAAGCACTGGTGATCTTGTCCCATGAAGAACTCCGAACTTGTAGACCAGCCGTGAACTTGGGTCAAGGCCTTTACACTGCTGTAAACATGCATGTACGTACGTCTGATGTACATGCAAGGACGTATGTGCACATAGGTAGGTTGGTAGGTAGGTAGGTAGGTAGGTAGGTAGGTAGGTAGGTAGGTAGGTAGGTAGGTAGGTTAGGTAGGTAGGTCGCTCGCTCGCTCGCTGGCTCGCTCGCTGGGTGGGGGCGGGTGGGGTGGGTGGGTATGTATATATGTCTGTATGTATGTATATATGTATGTATGTATGATATGTATGTATGTATGCATGCATGCATGAGTTTCAACTATTAAACTTGTTACACTGCTTCTGCTTCTTAATACTGTTAGTATTGTTATCTAGTGAGCTCTAAGTCCTTAAGTCGCCCTCGTCGGTGATCCGACGCTGCGACTCCAAAGCCCAAATCCTCCCCTTGCCTCTCCTGCGACGCCTACATTCTCCCACATATTCGTGCAAACTACACCCCAAGCAAGCCGCTAACAATGGAATTAGGGTTTCGGGCGTTTGGGTTTAGGCCTCGGGTTTCGAGTTTAATCCGTAACTTTCGAGGCATCCCCGAAAACAAGGTACTTAGGACCCGGACCCAGCTGCACTCGAAGACGGGAGCCGAGCGTGCCCTCACCTTCCTGCGAAAGGCCTCGATGCAAGGAGAAGGCTGACTAAAATGTAGCCTTGACCATTTAGAGCTTTGGAGTTAAGGCTGCTTGAGGGCTTTGGGGAATGTGCTTGCAAGATGAGAAGGGGGTTTGCAGAGCAGGGCGGGATTGCAACCCTGGCGGCCAGGTCTTGTGGGCCGTACCATCGACATCCAAGAGGACCTCTCAAACCCCAAGCTTCGCAACAACAGCAAGGTCCCAACTGACAACCTCGAAAAAGCAAGCCTGCCTGCCACAGAGAAGCCAAATGCGGTTGAAGGTGGGTTGGCAAGCACTGCCCCACTACACGAGATCTGTGAAAACATGCGGGGCGGCATCGCCAAACTTGGATGCACGCAGGGACACACGAAACAAACACATGATAATGGTGACGTTGTCACCATCACCACCATCCTCCTTCGTGTCAGGACCACCACCAGCAGCTGCGGTTTCACTGGACGGGTAGAAGCAGTGTTGCAGCAGCAACAACAACAACAACAACAACAACAACAACAACAATGACAATGCCAACCCGTCCAACGAGCAAACCTTAGACCTGAGCTTTGTGCCCTATTTGCGGAAGCCCAATTGGTCCCCAACGATCTTCCAGCAGCTTGGCTTAAGTACGAGTACAGTACAGCACGGAGCAATGAAGGCCAGACCCTCCCTACCATAATCAGGCATCCATCTGCAAACCAGTACCCGTACCGTGTCTGAGCCTGGACTTTAGGCCTGTGAAGAAAGCCCCGTGGTCTGAGCTGCGAACCTTTCAGCCATGCCTTGAACAAGTTCCGGAGCATGATGGGCCTTGTCATCACAGAGAGGCAAGAAATGCTTAGCATACAATGGGCTGAGTTGTGGGACCTGCATGCCAGCACGAGAAACGGAAGCGAAGTGATTCAGGTCTCGGTTTCAAGTCCAGGAGCCTTCACCCCATCGCCCTAATTTCCCAGACCAAGCCCCCAAATCCGTCTGGCACACCTATCTCACACTTTCATTTTCAGTTTGGTTTGGAAGTTCGAACAGGGACTGAACCGTGCCAGCAAGCAGAGGTTCCGAAAAGTCGTGTGGAACATATAGACCTCTAACCTTCAGCTCGTCGCATGAAGTTCCAGGCACTACAAGTGACGATGTGATTAGACAAAGTTTGGAGGTCAGGCACCCAGTAGTACACTGCAAGGGGAGCTCGGACGCGGCACGGCCGGCAGGGCAGCTGTCATCCGTCTACAAACTACAAACTACAATTATAATTGGGGTAGATGAGCCACATTGCTGAAACCTATTGATCATAAAGATGGCACAAGCAACCTTCACCATCGTACCAGTAATAAGCACACCATCCACCAAAAAGCCGAAAGTGCGATCAAAGCCTGCTGGGGCTTCTGGCTCGCTAAGGGCACCCCCATCGAAGTGCCACCGCGACTCGAAGGATTTCGCGAGTGCGCGAGCATACTTCAGGTGGTCCTGTTTAAGGCTAGGGTGCTGGCTGAAAGGTGTTGGGCATGCCAACTTTCAAGCTATGCCAGTTTGATTGTTCAACGGGTTTGTCTGGTATATATATATATATAATATATATATATATATATATATATATGCATGTGTATATATATATAGAGAGAGAGAGAGAGTCACATACACATACCTTTGGAGGCAACAAGACTTTGGAGTTCGCCTGGGTATGTGATCTGCAGAGCATCGACCCTTGAAGCTCAGGCCCTTTTTTCTCTCTATCCCTCTTTTACATCCTGAACACCACAAAAAAACACAAAACATTTCCATCTGGGCTCCCCCTGAAGCAGGCTCCTTGAGCACCACACCCCAGCCCGGAACCCTCCCCCCCGCGCCATGCTGACCATCCCGAAACAGGACTATCTGGACGATGAGCCCTTGAAGCTTTGAACCCTGCCCTCTCAAATCTTGCATTCCCCCTTCTCCCCCCTCTCCGCCTTAATGACCATGTGCATGGGCGAGGAGAAAGGGTCCTGTCCACTGAGGGCGGCCGCCTGGGAAACACGTCGCGGGACTAGCATTCGATGTTTGCGGCTGGGCGCAAGCACTCGGATATGCCAGGGGAGGTTCTTGGTGCGAAGTCAGTTGGAGGTGAAGGCTATGGTGTGGGTTTGGGTACTTAAGAATGACCTCAGTTCTGTTGCCTCCCACCTAGTTAGCCCCTTGGGGTTTGCGGCTTTGGATTTAGCTTCGAGGGCCAGAGTCAGATCTGTTTTGGGGTTACAGGCTTTCCATGTGGGTCCGGCACGTCGGTGGATGGCTTTCGCATCATGGTTGCAGGCCCTTAGTTGGGGTTGGTGCTAGACTGGTGTTGGGCAAAAACGACAGACCCGCACCTTAATAAAGCCTATTCATCACTCGCGACTAGGCACAGCAGGCAAGGTCACTAGTCACACAGCATGGGCGCTCAGACGTCCGGCAAGTGCCGGTCACTGCAAACAGGGCAAAAAACAAAACCGCACAAAACCCGACAACGGAGCCGAAATCCCTGAACTCCACGTGTTTCAAATAGGCAAGCGGGAACCCTCGGCCGAGTTCCGCTCCATCACGACTGCGTCCGCTGCACAGCCGAACAGTGCACCGAAAAGGACCAGACGGCAAAGACGCAGGTCCTTGCATCCACGCTCAAGAGAAAGAAAGTCGGACAGACAGGGCTTCGAGTTCCAGTTCACATCAGGGTTTCCCTAGTTGCAGAAGGGGAACCGGATATGCGTTTCGACCTACTTGGTCCTCGCTTCGCGCCACTCTTTCTGAGACCCGTAAGCCCGGAGGCTCTCGAACTCTCAAAGCTTCTCTAACTGTTCGGTTCAGGAGCCTCCAGCATCATAGCATCCCTACTGCCAGAATGGGTTAGAATGGCGACCTCGTTTCAGCGAATCGAAGTCCAGGAAATCTTCCTTCCTGGCAAACGTACCTTACGGGGACCCCATCGTCGGGCCTTAACTTTCTTCATATCTCGCTGAATCTGGGGCTCCGAATCCTGGGATTCGGGAGCCCGCAGGCTCCACTTCGCAACAGACAAAACCTTTCCCAAAGGGTCTAAGTACCCATATAGTAGGTATTTTGGGCCCCAAAGTATCTACCATACTAGTACTTAGACCCTTTGGATTTTGCAGCAGGCTTGCCTCTTCGCCCGGTAAAAAGCACACACAGTTGCAAAAGCTTGCGCACGACCATCAAGGTACGCAGATTTGCCACCACGGGCCGGCATCTCCTCACGAAGAACCTCAACCGTTTCATCGAAAATCTCACACCTTGGAACCCCCAGTCCTTTCAAAAGACACAAACATAACCGAAACTGGAGCCTGCCCGGGTCGCGCAACATTTAGAGTGTATATTAACATATTGCTGACAGTCCGCCCTCAAGCATAACCGTTAACCATAAAGTAGAACATAACCCTACGCCGATCTCAGCCCTGAGCCTAAGATTCACGACCCTGCTTCAGAACAGAATGAAAAGCCCCAATCTGTACTTAACCCATCAACCCCAAGCCTAGATGGAGCTAAGAGCCAGGCCAGAGGCAGCACGATGGCCATGCGGCCAAGGATTGTGATCCGTGCCTGCTCATCCTGGCTGATCAGGGTCTGGGTTGATGGAGCTTGCCCTTTGCGGATGCAACAGCACCGAGAGTGGTCCCCCGTTAAGTCTTACGAACTCACTTGCTTCTTACCCTCTGTCTCTCCCTCCCTCCCTCCCTCCCTCCCTCCCGCACTGCTTGTCGGTTTTCCTGTATTCCCCCTCTGAGCTGCTCACCCGTCTCGAGGTCAAAGCACCGAGCTCCACGAGAGTGCACACCTTTGAAACAGCAATTCCAGAGAAACATAATGGGCCCAGCAGTTGAGACGCTGCAGTTGTCCACGTGAGCCCAGGGGGCCATACACCAGGCCATGTAGTGTAATTACGATAAACATCGGCTTCACAACCTACTTCCCAGCAAGAAACCAGCCAAACCATGGGTGCCCAGGCTTGCTGCAAGTCTGTCCGGGGCATCTCATGGGCCGAATAGTCAGGTTGGTGGTACTGCCTTTTTACGTGGCAGTCCTGGCTCCACGACTTCTGGGGGCTCCTTAGAACTTGTGGTACTCAGGACCTGGCAGTCTGAATATCTGGCACAGTGAAACATGTCTCAAAGCATGCAGTGATACCGTCTGCGGCGACCGCATCAACTGTCGTGAACGTTTGCATGGACAACAAACGGCAGGCGCATGGCTGACAACTCCGAATGAACTGGATCAACCGAACTACACGTGCAACTGCAGGGGACGCCGGGGCAAACGACGGTGAAATCTGAGGTGCCCCACTGCATCTTCCAAACGGTCGCCAGGCGGCGGCTGAACCTCAAGGGCGAGACTGGCGTTCGGTTCAGGAGTTGCCTGTGCTTAGCTTTCAAGTGCAGAAATGCGCTTGTGGGACAAGGATCCGACTGCTGTGGGACTCTTGGGGCCGTGCCAGGATCTATACTGGACCCCAAAAGTATGTAGAATAATGGCCTTTTATGGGTTTTGGGCCATTATTTTACCTACTTTGGGGGGTTTTGGTAGAGAGGTTCTGCCACAACCAGTTTGCAAAGAGTGCAGGACTGATCAATCCGAACTCCTCAATGATGAGAAATGCTTCTTCGAGGCCTTTGAAGACGTGTCGCTTGGGCACTGAGGCCGCTACAGTCAACTGCAGCAGTCGTCGCCTGAGGAGCACGGACGCAGGCACGCCACCGAGAACGAATTAGGGTGCAGGGTTTCGGATTCCGGACTTGGGTCAAGGGGAAAGATCCCTTTTCGCTCCCCTTTTACTCAGGTTGTCAGACTCTGAACTCCAAATGCTCGGAAGTAGACAGTGATCAGCCAGCCCCGAAGCCGGGCTCGCTGACGCGGGAAGCGCTCCCAGGCGTGGAAGGAGCTCGGAGAAGCGATGTGACAGCTGCTTGACCTCGGCTGGGGAAGGGTTTTATTTGTTGGGCTTTGTGGTGCGGACTCTGCCACATGTAGACTTGGACTGCCTGTCGGAGGTGGTTTCAACTGCGGAACTTATATGCAAGGAAGAGTGCAAAAAATCAAAGTTACTGGAGCGACACAAGTATTTTACGACATCATGTTCCCTGCGGTCTTCTTCGGGAGGTGAGGTGCGAACCTGGTCCGGGGCCTCATGCAAAACCCCTAAACCCCTGAAGGCATTGACACCCCCTTCTCCACTGCTGTGTCACTATGCCCATTTCGCAGCACTTCGTAATTAGCGATACACTCATGGCGACTTTTGCTCAGGCGTCGCATGGGATCCATCCTTTCTGGGCTCCTTTGAGGCTACCCACAAAGTAGGACAACGGGTTGCTGTAGCGGAGGTGGCATCGGCACCCCGTCTGCGCACGGGGTGAAATCCACCGTTGCACAGGTCTCGGCGCTATGTGGGCTCGTCTTCTTCTTGTGCTTGGTCCGTCTTGGGACCTCAACTGATGCCACAGGCGGGGACGCCACCTGACGAGCATGCCAGCTTGTGCATACACTGCTTGAGCGAAGCTTGTATATGCGACTGATTCTCGAAGCGTGCATCACAAATACAGGGGCTGATGGCATAATTTCGAGCGTTGCCAAGAGACACGAAACCCCAAACAATCCTAACCCCAGACAGCCACCTGGCGCACGGATGCGGGACGGTGCAGCGACACGTCTGACACTCCAGCCGTACGCGCCATAACTTCCAGGAAGTCCTGGGCGGGTGGGTTTCCCTTGGCGCGCTCCTGCTCCAAGATCCGGGTCTCAAAGGACTTGAACTTCCTCAGTCTCAGGCGCATCACACATGATAACACAAGCAAACTATGTTAAAGCAATTCTGTCGCCACTTCGTATCGTGAGCAGATGCATAAAATTTCCCATGAACGAGTTCGTAACCAAAACGCTTCTTCCCAAACTTCTTCTCGCGGATCTCCCGCTCCCCCTTCAGCCTCTGCCAGCGCTCCTCATGCTCTCTTTCCTGGGTTCTGCGGTGCAAGCAAAGTTAACTCAAGCTGCCATAAAGTATGAGTCAGTATGAGGCATGATAGGGGCTTTGCAATAATTTCAGAATTGTGCTTTAAGTTACCATCACGGTTGCCATTACAAAGAAAGCATACAGTACACCGAAATGTGGATTATGGTAACTTACACTAAATTCCCGAACCTAGTCTCGAACTCTTTGTAAGGATCTACCACCGGTCCGCGCTGTGCCTCAAGGACCTGCAAGAGCTCTTGCTTGCTGAGCTCATCGATGTCGTCGATTCCGACTAGGACTTGCTGGTAGAGCTTCATCATCTGAGTGTAGGAGAGATTGTCCTCAATGGTCCAACTTCGGATGACAAGCCCCCCTCCACTGAAGCGTAAGCTTATTTGATACTCTTAACCCCAACTGCTGGCTCCAAACGACCACCCAAGAGTCAATATGCATCGAAGCATGGGCTACAAACAAGTCTGGGCCGTCGTAGACATAAGGGCCTCCTAAGAGCCATTCGAGAAAGTCCACCGTGCGAATCTTCAGGCGCATGAAAGTGGCGTCCGTCCTGGCAAACCTGGGGCGCTTCAACATTACTTAGGGATGATCTCACCAAGTCTGCATAGTAAGCGTGCTCAGTTGCAACAGTGGCCGTGGAAAAGGTGCAATCCCTGGAGTACTGCAGTATTCCTAAACCCTGAACCCCGACCAAAAATAAACACAGACTTTAGCGACGTTGCGCACCTCTCAAACTGTGGTCCAAGAAGGCTGTCAAACCGCATCAAGTCCTCAGTCTGGCTTCGTAGTTGTCAGGAAGGTCTTTTCGGGCTAGGCCTGCGGATTTTCCAACCCTGCAAGGACGCCCAACCGACTATCAAAGGGGATTGATTGAAGATAAGAAGATGCTAGCAAGGAGAAGTATCACCGGTCCAAACTCCGTCAACTTACAGCCCAGGGTCGTAAAGCTCATAAACGATCCTCTCCAGGTTCGGACGGCCGCCTAAGCGAAGAAAGAGGCATGCGTCTGACGCATCCTCCACATGGTCCATGCCGGGAGGGACGGTGAAACTCTTGAAAAAGTCGTAGTAAGCCAAAACCAGTAATGGCTCCGGACCAGCCACACCCATTCATTCAAGACGCCTTCAGTCTACACCCTCAACTTCCCGTCCTTAAGGGCCTTTCGGGAAGATCCGGGAAAAAACATGCAAGACAAGTGTAGTGTTGTGTCCCTGGGTTCGTGTCAAGCCCATTAGCTCTTGGCCCAATGTGCTTGGTCCACATTTGATGCTGTGTCTACAATCAGACCTGTTTGCCAAGCTGGGCTCCCATGTAAGCCCTCTGTACAGGCAGGCTTGACAGGAACAACGAGCCTGCGGCTACGGTGCGGGACAGACGTTCGAGCTGCAAGCTTAAGCTGCACCCATCAAAAACTGCAAGTACATGTGCGAAGCTCTGCAGACAACTCCCGGTTGATCTGGTGTTGTTGCTGTGAGTGTTCTTCGTGCAAGAGGAGTGTAGAGGTTTGGTTGACACAGGCTTTGCTCACTTTGCTACTTTTCCCTTAACCCCCACCCCAGGAGCCCCCATAAATCCAAACTTCTTCTGCTGAAACCCTGCTAAGCCCCCACGACCCAATCGCCCAAATACTCCCCATCCTATAAGCCCCTTCTACCCCCTCCCGATACAACCCCTAGACCCATCGAAAACCGCCTGAAACCCGCAAGTTCATGTCAAAACTAGCACTGTATATGTAACAAAAGTCTATCTATTGCGACCAGAACTATGTACTATTGCTAGCGACTGCTGCTAAAACTAGTACGAATGACATGTGAAACGCAGTAACGCAGTGCCGATACGAGTACGAAAATAACAACGTAGCACTAACGAGTCGAGCCAGAAAGGAGGGCCACTGGGCCGCACACTCTTCAAGGACATGACTAATGTTTAGCGGATGGGCCAACACTAAACAAAGTGCAACATGATGAAGACAGCATAAGTACTACAAGCAGCTGGGCTACGGAGGCTTGCTTGCTGGGACAGGATGAGGACACAGCTCGTGTTTTTGGGACAGGGAGTGATACAGAAGCACTGTGAGCTGAAGGAACGAAAAGCGACAAATATCGGCTGTTTTCCCTGCCGGCTAGGCAGTACGCCGCCATTTCCTCCAAGTAAATTTCGAACAGCACGCTGGCAGTGAAGGCGAGCCTGACATGAAGGTCATCAACCGTCATGGAGGCATATGATTCAGCAATACAAACATCAAAAGACCACCTCTTGCATGCCTTCATTGTCTTCATCAAATCGATCCGCATCTCTCTGTTCAACTTCGTTCCGTTCGGCTTCATTGGTGCATTCATGCACACAGGTCGTGACTTCTGAGAGGTCAAAGAGCGGCGCCACGTGTAAAAGCGTTGCAAGGTTCTCCAAATCCAACAGCCTCTCAGCGAATCGACCTGCTTTGGATTTCAAAGTCGCTTCATTTGAATAACGAGCTGAGAATCGGAAAGCAATTTGAGTGAAAAGGACTCTTACCACAGCAAGGTAAGCGGGCAGGCTTTCGTCTTGGGTCAACACGTTTGGACTTCGAGCCAGCGCACGGAAATCGGCGACCGTGCCCGGAACGCGAAAATCTTCATCTGCAATGATTGGGAGCATGCGACAATGTGATGCGAAATGGTAACATTGAATCATCCATTGGACCATGCCTGGGGCTTCCAAGCAGTCCTTGGTGCAGACGACGATCACCAATTTTGCATGTTCTATCCCAAGCTCCATAATCCTGTCGTCTGAAGAGATGACAAAAGGTCCATTGATGCGTCTCTGCAACAGGTGTGGGAACATCCAGATCCTCAACACATGTGCGGTTGCTAAGGCCTCCATATCATCATGGTTAGCCAAGACCAAGCAAGAGGTGACAGCACCAAGACCATCTGCGAATGAGTGAATCAAGTTCACTGCGTCTTTCCCTGTTCTTGCAGGGTTCACCTGCTGCATCATCTCAGCAAGGCATGCAAGGTCAGAGACCTGAAAGCGCTCTGGCAGAGCGATGGTTTTCTGATCTCTTAACCTCGTCAAGGTGTCTTTGATGTCGGATTTGGAAAGTCCATAGGTGACCAACTCGTTCAGGTCCCCAAGAACCGTATCGAGCGCTGCAATGAAAGCGGCATCCGGGAAATGAAATCCGGGTAAAGCAAGCACCACCATGGTCACATCATGCAATTTGGCAGTGACCACTTCACCTACGCACCATTTGCGAGTCCAAATGTCGGCTGAGCCTATGACGATCAAGTTCTCGATGCTTTGGCTGATCACGCCGAAAAGATGCACCAGAGATGACAAGTCATCACTGTCCAGGAATACAGAGCAACCATGCTGCTGGAGTTCCAACTTCACCAGCCGAGCAACACTGCCAGCGGTGGATTTGTGATGAGTCAAGAAAAACTGGTAAGTCTTGCGCTGCTTGCGAAGCCAATATTCTACCAAAGAATAGGCGGCTAAGCCAAAGAAAAGCGCCAACGTTGCACCAAAAACAACGGAACAAGCAATCATGCCCGAAGCGCCTATCTCATCTTCAACATAGAAAGCGCCATGCAAGAGGATGAGCAAAAAGCAAACATTGGCAAGCATGTCCATATAAGTGCAAAGTGGAAACAGCCATGGCTGGAAAACGGCCGACAAGCACAAGTTCAAGCAAAGCATCGTAAATATTGCAAGACAGCCTGCAGCAACCGAAGGTAGAATGGGCGACATCGCCACGACAGCATTCCTGACCAGAAGAAAAATTGCAAATGCATGGTGCCCGGGACGAAAACGCGAAAGCAGGAATGAACAGGAGCGGATAAACTTCACATCCATTCGATGAATACGCTTGGGAAGCTCCATGAGCAGAATCCATGCACAAAGTGCGACGAAACTGACCGGTAGAAGGGTCAAGAAACTGGCTGCCAATGACAGGCCCCAATGGTCGTCTCTGAAATTGCACAGCACATCACTGGCCGTTGTCATAGTTGAAGCGAGGTTTGGATGTGTTACACAGTCAAATGGCTCCAACACTGCAGTGCAGAGGACAATGAAGAATAACATGCACAGCATGCCAAAGGTCTCCGCCAATATGTGCAGCCTTGCTCCTTCCTTCTTTGCTTTGGTTCGCTTGCCCCTTCGGTTTCCCATCTTGCATATGCAAACATATTGCAAATGGACAACGGCTGGTCCAGTCATGAACGCTAGAGGAACTGCCACGGTCTGAAATAAGAATTGCACTGTTGGAGAAAAGCGAGTCACACAACTTACTGCGTTGAGCGACTGCATCAGTTCGTCGACTGAAATGAAGCTCAATGCTCGCAAGATCGAAACGAATGGTTCTTGCCACTCCATATCCATCCTGTGCATCACAACGACGACTTGCACACACACCGCCAGCTGACCAATGTAAATGCCGACCTTAACAAGTCCCACTTGCACCTTCTGAGCAGTTGTGAAGAGCAGAAAAGCATGTGCTCCACCTGTTGCCAAAAGGACCAGGATGCAAACCACAATCAGCATAAAGTAGTCCTGTCCCTGGCATGGCGCACAACCTTCCGCGGTGGGATGCAAGCCAACCATGCATGCACTACAAGCCACAGTGCGGTTGTCGCGACCCTCTGCACAAGTGCCAGGATCTCCACCAGGACATGCCAAGGGGCTTCGGTAGCATCTGTAAATGGACCCAGGATCAATGGAAGAACTGAAATAGCCAGGTAAAACCTCCACTTGGCTGGATCCTGGACATGATGCTCCTTCAGTACACTCATGGCACCTGCCATTTCGAAGGAACCAACCAGGAATGCAGTGGCACAAGTCTGCAGAGGCTGCAGCCTCCACCTGAGGGTCATCATGTTCTCCATTGAAACTGCTTGGCTTATAAAGGGGTTACACGTTGTCATTATCATCGAAGAAAATCATGTAAATCATTAGGTGCCCGCACTGACCAGAACTTTCCAACACTTCGCACCTGGATCCATTGCTGGCTGCCGCGAATCTCCGTGAGCCGGCTGGTGGTCCAAGTCGACTGGTCATCTCCATTCCCACACGGCTGACAACTTTCGAGGCCGGAAGAGTTGGCATAGCTGCCGGGCGTGCAAGCCTGGGGTTGGGGATACGCATGACCGCAGACGTGGAACCTGTAAACATCTGTGAACCCATGGCTTCAACATCTATCCTATCAAACACAGTCGAAATACATTGGTTCGCTGGTGTGGGGTATTCCTACGTGGACTTACTAATTAATTACTGACCATAGGCGGTACAAAGGCTTGGGATAGGTGTATTTGTAATTGCTAGCGATTCAGAAATCACTATTGCTGGTTTTCTATACCATACTGTACTTGGCTCCCTGCCTCACACTGCGAAACTCCTGCTTCTGCTGCAACTCTGCCTGCTGGACAAGTGATGCACAAGGTTTCGCCAGAGACCTCTTGGTAGGTTCCAGGACTGCACAAATCACCTCAGAAGGGGGATGCAAAATCGAAGCGTTTGTTAAACCAAATGAATGCAGTGCAAATCCAAGAATGAACTGTTCGACGATCCTGTTGAAGCTGGTCATATCTCATGTCCATAGCCAAACCAAGTCACATGTGTAGGTCCTTCCAGTCTCATCCAAGATGGCCTTTGATGACGTGCCAGGTGTGCACAAGCCACAGCCTTTGGCTGCCTCCCTGGTGGTCACGGCGTTCCCAGCCGCATCGATCAGCCCGAAGCCAGGAATGCATGTGGTGTCCTTTGGCACCCATCTTTCCCACCGTTGGCGGTTGGAAGTAATCCACTGGCAAGCCACGTCTTCCCAACTTTTCGTGGCATCCTTCATTCCCAAGTATTGCTGCATTTCGGTCAACTCCAGCTTCAGGTTCTCCAGAAAACTTAAGACGTTGTAGGCTTGTTCACGCAAGCGCCGGCTCGCCAACTTGCCAATGTACGAGCCAGTTGCAGCAGTACGCTTGTTGCCTACGGCCCACTCGGTGGCAACGTGAACAGGGAAAATTATTGGCAGAGGATCGAAAGCAACCTGGGAAGTATCTGGTCGAAACCAGAATGACAAGACGTTGAGGCTTCGTGCTAGGCTGTAAAAATACTCAGCCGACTCACTGGTGCTCTCGTACTTGCCATCCATGATGCCCACTGCCGCAGGCATCCCATAGGCTGTAGACCATGCCATAAATGCATCCACTAACCAACCATACTCGTGGGAAAGCATGGGAATGCACTCGGAGACATTGTGCCTGCAGGCTGGAGAAAGCCAAAAGCGATCAAATGCATGGCACTTGGCATGCCATCCGTCTTGTGCCTGGACCAGACCTTCGATATCACCACTCCAACGAGCATAATCGTTCATGTAAACAGGGCTAGTCCACATGGTCGAAGAATCGTTGCACAACGTGAAATCTTCGATTGGAAGATCCAGCACAGAGGCGAAGTACTGTTTCGCAGATGATCTGCTTGAGTTGTAACTCCTGTACCAGTTCAACGAATGCCCAGAGTCCTCATATGCTTCTTCCACCACTCTCCGACTAACAAACATGGCCTCCTCTCCTGAATAACCCATGGAACCCAAATCTTCAGGCACGATATCCGGATGCCTCTCCTTGAAGACTTCATAGTCACTTCCATAGGCGCCAAGCCAAGTATCAAGCGCCACATGGCTGAGATCTGTATCTTGCGAGGTGCATTCCATGGAATTGCACCCCGTCAAGGAGAGTATCGCATCAAGAAAACTGGCGGTTCGCGCTTCGTTGACCTTGGCCTTGTATCCCAAAGCTTCTTCAATCACGATTCTGCCTTGGCTGAACAACCCATGAAAATGCTAACCAATTGGCACAACCAACAGGGGGATTGCCCTGGGCTATGTCTCCACTGGATTCGTTGTCATCCCAATTTAAACCAGATCAAACCAAAAAACGGCGGGAAAAAAGAACCAGCTGAACCAGCCCAGTTGCTCACTGCCGTGACAAATTCAGCTGATGGCCAGTCATAGGCAATCAATCTGATCTCAACATCTTTGCCCGCGACATCTTTGATGTAAGCACGGTCTACTTCTGGCACTGCTTCCGGCAAGCAAAAAGCGCTGGCTGCAATGGAAAAATACAGGTGAAACAGAGCGCTGGTCACTCGGCTATAGAATGCCATTTCTGAACCAAAAGGCCGAGCGGAGATTCAGATTTGTCGGCCAGGCTTGTGGAGGCCCTCCCAATGCGAGCACAAAGCTAGCAGACTCATGAGCATTTCTCGGATCATGTGGGTTTGTGAAACCACACCTTCCACCACATGTGCACATTCAGCTTGCTGTCTGCCTCGCAACGTCCCAAACCTCCCCGTCTGCTGCAAAGCGAGTCCCGGACTCCTACCCCCACCACTCGGAAAATCAAATGCCGGCCCTAAATAATGACCAATACTATTTTGGGGTTCCTGAGAAAAAAATTACAGTATAATGGGCCCCACACCACTCACCGCCACTCACTCCACCCCCCCGTCCCCGCCACCCGCCTACAGTGAGATGAAGGAACGAAAAGCGACAGATCTCGGCTGTTTTCCTTGTCGGCTCGGGCAGGACGCCGCCATTTCCTCCAAGTCCATTTCGAACAGCACGCTGGCGGTGAAGGCGAGCCTCGCATGAAGGTCATCAACCGTCATGGAGGCCCACGCCACAGGCCGTGAAAACGATTCCTCATAAGCCCTGAGAGGCCCCAAACCGACTTAAAAGGAAGCTTTACAAACCCTGCTTCTCGAAGTTCTCGTGATTCAAAAAACGCACGAAGGCATCCAGCGAAACCGGACAAAGCAGACGAAAACTCTCAATTCTAGACGCATGCCACAAACGCCCAGGCCTAGTACACCCACCCGAGGCAACCTCAGAATCAGCAGCCACAACCGCCGAACTGAAAAAAGCTAAGCTCACCGTCAACCTAACTATACACGTTTCAACTTTCGGCTGGCCCGCTCGTGGAACCAAAACCACTTCCCCCCTAAGCGAGAACCCATCCTGAAATTCTTCGGAATCTGGAACCAGGTTCATCCCGAACCCCAAATGGAGTTTCCGGAAATTAGCGTACCTTATTTTGGGGTCCTTATAATAAGGATCTTACTGTTTAGGGTACTATATTAGGGTCCCCTATTTTCGGAAACTCCCAAATCACCAACCCCACACAGACAGGGCCATCTTGGAAACCCAACCCGGCGTTGATCCTTGCTACATCCTACCACCCAAATCAGGTCCTCTTACGGGTGTCATGGCCTGGCCTCGGCGCGGTTTTGGGCCATGGCATCTCCGGCCTCCGCCTTGCCGGAGGAGCAAACAGTGGTGTGGGTCGAAGAAGTAGAAGTTTGCGATGACAGAATCTTGGTGCACTTCAGTTCCATGGGTTGTAGTTTCCTACATGGGAAGTACGGACGACGGCTTGGGGGCGTGGGCCCCTAGTTTAGTTCGTGTTGGGTTAGTTGAGGCCTTTTTTGCTGTTGCTTCGGTAGACTTTTACCAGTTCCTGCCAGTGCTGGAGGTGCTCTTTGTGGAAACCTGTTTGGGCGAGCCGATTCCCGAATCGTCAGCGACGGAATCACAGAATCTTCCTGCGAGAGCATGCGATCCAGCGGACGCTCACATGTGTCCTTGTTATGTAAGGGGACCGACTGTAACCTCGAATGTCACCGCCCGCCAAATCCTCTGCTAAAACCCTCTGAGGTTACTTACCAACAATCCCCAAGGAGTAAACTATTTACCGGATGGCAAGATCTAGAGTCCAAGTCTGCAACTCATACATCCTTGTGCTGCTTCTGCTCGATGCGGGCAACGATAAACAATTCGATGCACGCCCTGGCTCTGAGCCTACAAACTCTAGTAGTTTTTTGATGGTGTATTGTTGAATATCGGGTCCTGCCTCTTCGAAATGACTGCCGATGGCGCGAGATGCAGGCGCGACAGTGCTGCTCGTGGTTGCATCTGCGGTCGCGTGGGGTGTAGGGTATCGCAGGACAGGAGGTCGATAGGGTGGAAACGGTGAGAAGCAGAATGCCAGACGGAAGCATAATATGCAAACCTGATGCAAGTATAACCCATGGCGCAACTGCAGTATTGCTGCCCTTTGTCTCGCCTATCATGTTGGCAAGTACTCCACCTTGAAGTTAGCTGTCAACAGGTGTAGCACAAACAACCCGATCTACGACCCCACTAATGCAGTCAAACCTGAGCCCCGAAGACCCAAACCACGCATCTAGCTAGCCCCAACACTCGGCACAGAAAACCAAACCTGCCTAGACCTTGTAATTCACAACTTTTAAGCTTGAAGCCCTAAACCCTCGAACCCTAAGCCCTAAAACTCGTAACCCCTAAACCGCCCCAAGCCTAAAACAGGCTTGGGGTTTAGGGTTTAGGGTTTAGGGCTTAGGGTCCTAAAACGATCGCCAGCCTGGACACGCCGCCTGCGTGCCGCCTGTTGTAGCTTGCCGCCGCTGCAGCCGGAGCCTCCTTGCCTTGCCGGCTTCAGAGCACGGAGAGCCTAGAAACCTTAAAGTTTCGGCTTTAGGGCTTCGACGGTTTAGGGTTTTTAGGGTTTTAGGGTTTTCGGGTTTAGGGGTTTGGGGGTTTAGGGTTTAATGTTTAGGGGTTTAGGGGTTTAGGGTTTAGGGGTTTAGGGTTGAGGGTTTAGGGTTTAGGGAGTGTTTAGGGTGCAGGGTTTGCAGTGTAGGGGCTCGGAGACTTATTAGGGCTCAGGGTTGTCCGTGGCCAGATTTGTGTAGGGGCTCGGTGTCTGCGGGTTGGGAGTCTAGCCTTCCCAAAGGGTCTAAGCACTAATATGGTAGATACTTTGGGGCCCAAAATACCTACTATACGGGTACTTAGACCCTTTGGGCTTGTGGATCAAGCAGCAAATGCTTGTGGTCTGACCAAACCCTTAGACTCTCACGTGTTACATCATTGGCGGAGGCTTTTGTTCTTAAAGGTTTGGGCTTTGAGCCAGGCTGTTCTCAGGCAAAACAACGAAGATCTCAGCTAAACCCTTGTACACCTGAAGCCTTAGCTGAACCCTGAACCCTAAACCCTAAACCGATGATGATTGGGGCGAAAGGCTGAACGCAGGTTCTTGCACGAGTGTGTAAAGATGGGCGAAAGCATCGCCCACTGACAAAGCTCACTACACTCCAATGGTTGAACTCTTGCCCTGCAGAATACCCTTGACTGAAGTGCCGGCCAGCGCCCATGCAACCCTCACCCCGTCTTAAGGCCCTAAAACTCCCTAAACCCTAAACCCTAAACCCTTCGGAGGGAGCCCAACAACCTTGATCACAGCCGACCTCATGGAACTCCTCGCGAACTTTGCCGCCTGCGACTGGTCTGGTGATAGGTGTGGACACGACTCTCTTCCATTCATGATCCGAAGAAAGTCTTGGATGGTATTACAGTGTAAAAGAGAATGTGTATACAGATATATATATATATATATATATGTTTGTTTATTCGTACATGTATTTATATGCTTCCATGAACTGCACTCGGGAACTCCTGGCAGAAACCCTAAACTCCTCAGATCTTAAAGAACCCTGCAGCTGATGGAATTCTCATGCCTCGGGCACCCTAAGTCAAGGCCCTATAGGTCGATGACTGACCGTGCAGGGACCACAGGAATTGTGAGGCTCTCACACTCGGACATGCAAGCGGGGATCCGGGAGGGTTTTGGCCTGAGGGCTTTTGTAAATACATGGCGTCTTCGTTGCTGGATGTTATAGGCATCCCGTGGTTCACAGTATATGGTTTTCCATGGCATATATACCGTAGTCATCGCGGGCAAGACAAGCATTTTGGTCGATTTGGCGGCTTGCATGCCAGCTACGCTTCATCCGCTTCGCGGAGGGCACAGAGAGGTCTTGGCATCCGGCTCTGATTTAGCTAGTAACGGACAGTACCGGACTGCTTGGTTACTATGCCGGTACTATGCAGGTGAGAATTGGGGTTTCGTGGTGACGGAATGCCCAGACAATCTCGGCGACTGCGAACAACTACGACACCATGCTTGAAAGTCACATGCAGCAACGACCTCTCTTACTTTCTCTCAAGCGACTCTACATCCATGCCATGGTTCTACTGTGTACGCACTTGCGATGAATGCCAGAAGAACTCGGTGGACAGTTGGAAATCTAGTAGGTTCCCATATGGGGGTTTCCGAAAATACGGCACCCTAATATAGTACCCTAAATCGTAGGATCGTTATTATAAGGACCCCCAAATAAGGTACCCCTTAAATTCGGAAACTCCCATATCTCAGTATCTCAGCAGCAGGAAAGCCCAAGAGCCAGATTCAGCCCGGACCACCCGCTGCTCCCATCACCTCAAGGCGGCAATAGATCGAAGATCATACTACCCTAACCCCCCAGGTACCTACTATGTAGGGCCCTAGGGGCTCTAGTACCCTATATAGTAGGTACCTGGGGGTTAGGGACAAGCTCTGGATGTATCCACTGCCTTTAGAACTCTAGGAGCCGTGATAATCGGATCCCCATGACTCGCGATATCTCGCAGTTTCAAGGTGTTTCCTCTTTCGACATCAGAAACAGCAGCAGTAACGACGACGACGAACGCTGCAACAAAATTAAAAAATGCACCAATTGCAAGTCTGGGTGTCGACTTCAAGCGCTGAAATCGGGACAACTCCAGACTGCTCCGATCCTGGCAGCTCTGCAGCGATAACACTCTCCGTGTTTTGTTGACTGAGTATTCGGACTCCAAAGCTTCGCGCCTGTAGCTTCAGTACATTTTGGTGTTCATATATGCAGGGCTCTGTACTTTGCTCAAGGAGGTGTCTTCAGTCTTTACAGGCTTGCAGCAAAGGCGGGCCACACAAGGCCACGAATCAAGTCTCATCGCTAAAAGCCATGGAGCCAGTTACCCAACAAAGGCTTGACTCAGCGGCTTGACCACTCAAAAATCGTAAGATCCACAACCTCAAGAGTCTGAGAAGAGAGTCTGTATCGGGGTAGTGGAGCACCGTCATCTCCAGTTCCACCTCTCGGCGAATGTGCTCCAACATCTCTCGTCCATTGAGCATTCGTCCATTGATTTCCTGACGCAAAGTCCGCAAAACGCTCAGCGCGTATTTCCCCAATGAGACATCCACTTTCAGAGCACTATCTTAGAGCTGGTCTATAGTGTCAAAGCTATCCAGATAGGGAGAAGCATGCCAGGTGTGAGGCTCCGAGAACCAGTCCGTTATTCTATCTACATCTATCTACGGCAGTGGGTGCACTCTTTGTCTAGTGCCCCGCAATGAATATAATCAATCGGATGCAACGGCGACAACCAGTGTATTGGAGGCGCAGTCATAGACTTACCGTTCTCTTTCACCGGGCTTGTAGGTGCTATGCCGAGATTTTATGAAGATGTGAATTTCCATGTATAGGTGTGTAGATACATATGTACATAATTTTGTGCACATATCCGTAGTCCCTACATATACAATGAGCGTACATGTGCATGTCGATTTCTTGCAAGGATATAGTCAGCCCCAAGCTTCGACGATGCGATCGCCCGGGCACACGGAAGTCTCTGGATGCGATGCGTTCCAGTCTGCAATCAATCCATGCTCACTGATGTGGCTTATGACAATGCCGGTGGAGGAGTTGGTGTACCTTGGCTCTCAAAGCATCGGGGCCTTAGGCTCGAGGGCTCGGTCCTGCGGAACACGAAGGAGCTGAAATGCACCACACAAACGACCCCCAAACCCCAAAGCGTTGGGGCCGTTGGCGTTAAATCCAGACATTCCTCCGGTACCAGATGCTGGTCTGATGCAGAACTGTGTAATCTACAAGACCCTGCAAATCCCAAACGTCAACCTGCTAGAACGGGGAACACCTTCGCAAGGCTACTCGCCACTGCTAGCTTTTGACAGTCTTACGATCAAGCATCGGGTCTGGAGTTCTACGACTCTCCTCTCTCCCTTCCGCCGTTCCTTCCTTCAAAAAAACCCCAAAACACGTATACAATCACAGGCCGGCCTGAACACAGGAGTTATCGAAGATGGGTCTTCTGAGGGTCTACACCGCTTGCTCTAGCGCGCTTTGGGCTTTGGCTGGGGTCCCTAAATTTGATCCCCGCGTTTCACATGTCCATGCTGGAGACCAGGAGGCTTCAGCTGCACGCCCAGCTCTCCTGGCTTGACCAAGCGTACCTTGGCCATTGGGCATAGAGTATAATTGGTGAACCGGTTTCATGTAGAAGCCTGACAAAATAGCCTGGCTCTTCCTTATTGCAGATTTTCTTGCCTTTGATTGTCGAGGCCGCCAGATTAGGGCATCGGGGTATTAGAGTAGTAGGAACGCATCCGAGCTTTTGGGTCGATCTGGGGTCCACGGTTTTTGTTTCGTCGGATCGTCAAGGAAAGCTTGACTTGGCCTTGGGTTGCAAGCTTTGGGCCTGACCTGTCTCCTAACTTTTAAGAACTTCGGAGACTCTGCTTACTACCGGAAATTCAGACGAAGCCCACGGTGAGAACTTCCCCTACTTGAAGGATCATGGGACTTAGTAAGTAGGGTTATAAGTAGGGGAACTATACTTATAACCCCAATTAAGGGACTTATAATCTTGCTTACTAAGTCCCATGATCCTCCAAGTACGCTCCCTTATTA